TGCGTACAGCAGTAGCTAGATCGGAAGATGTACCTGCGTTCCAGTATGGCTATCACTAGTTCTTGATAGCATTAGATTCGAGTTCTGTTCATTTACATTTCAAACAGATGATGTACTTTATTTCATACCAGCTTTGTAAATTCTAAATTTTAAACGCTCATGATTTGTACTACCAGTCCTTGGGAAATTCTTTGTATAATAGTTCAGTTGTATTATCATTTCTTCTCTTAATAAATATCATTTGAATTGGTTTATTGTTAATTGGCTTACCTAACGGTTTGGGTTAGGTGCCATCACGACTAGTTAGATTTTGGGTCGTGACAACTGGATTTGAAGATGTACATGTATTCCAGTTATGGCTATCACTTGTCTTTGGTAGTGTTAGATTCGAATTCTGTTCATTTACATTTCAAACAGATATTGTAATTATTTCAATTCAGTTTTGCAAAAATCTAAATTTTAAAAGCTCATGATTTGTACTACTAGTCCTTGGGAAATTCTTTGTATAAAAGCAATTGTATTATCATTTCTTCTCTTAATAAGTCTCATTAAATTGGATAATGTTTAATTGGCTTACCTAACGGGTTAGGTTAGGTTCCCTCACGACTAGTTGGATTTTGGGTCGTGACACAAATGCAAAAAAGTCATCGCAAAAGCGAACTCCTCACATCCATGCTATCATCGCAATTGCGACGACAGGTTCGCAAATGCAAACACTGGATCTTCGGAAAAGCGATTAAATGATTGCAAATGCGATCACTGCTGATCCCAGGCCACCTTCGCAATTGCGAACAATGGATTCGGAAATGCGACCCTAACAGACTAGGTCATACATCACAAATGTGACTTCCAACCTCGCATTTGCTAAGCCTGCAATACCAGTTCAGACCAACAACACCAAAACCCTCCCAAACACTCCGAAATGCGTCCGAAACTCACCCGAGCCCCTCGAGCTCCAAACCAAATATGCGCACAATTGTAATAACATCATAAAAACTCGCTCACTCGATCAAAAAACCAAAATGACATCTAGAACAACGAATCGAACATCAAAATGTATGAATTTTTCAATGAAACTCAAGAACTTTCAAATTTACAATCGGACGTCGAATCACGTCAAATCAACTCCGTTTTGCACAAAATTTTGCAGACAAGTCATAAATAGTAAAATGAACCTACACCAAGTTCCGGAACCAAAATCCAAACCCAGTAGTAATAAAGTTAACCTACGGTCAAACCTAAAAATTTTTTAAACCTTCAAATTACTTAATTTTCATCAATTCACGTAAAATCAAGTTAAGGACTTCCGAATTCAATTCCGGGCATACGCCCATATCCCAAATGATGTGGGACCGTCAAAATACTGATCCGGATATATTTTAACAATATGTTGACCTAGTCAACTCAAATCATTTTAAGGCAAAAATTCACATTTTCTTTAGTTTTTCACATAAAGACTTTCCGGTACAAGATACGGACTACGTACGCAAATCGAGAATTACTAAACGGAGCTAATCGAGGCCTCAAAATACGAAAATAAATGCTAAAACTCAAAATGGCCTATTAGGTCATCACAATTTTTAAGGTTAGAAAATAATTATCTATTAACCTTTCAAATGAATCGAATAGGAACTAGGAACGAAAATGGGGCAGAATCAAGCCGCTAGAAATAATTGATTTATACACAAAGCAGAGTCCCCAAAAATTAGTTTTCTCCAATAAATAAGTAAGTAAGTAAATAAATAACAGTAGTATCACATGACTAAATAGACAAGTTTTAGCTAGAGCATTTGAGGCATCCAACATCATTCTTCATTGCTTGCAAAAACAAATTCTGCTCCAATTAATTCACATGATAGGCTTGTTGACAAGACTGAAAAGGTGTATGATCTCTCGATTTCATGATATATATATACATTTTATCAACAATTCAATAATGTCTTGATTCACGTGGTTTTCGACAGCTTCCTTCTTTTCCTTTTAAATCAAATAGCTAGCAGTAAACAAGAAATGTCTTAGCTTACAACGACGTAATTAGAGAGGTTAAACAAGGATGAGTGTACCTATCAACAAATGACTCCTATCTATTGGTGTTTTCATTATGGATCGGTCGACTTGTCACAATTACTTACTCAAACATAATTAAGGTAGACCTGGTCATAGTTCTTTTTTCAAATTTGTGAAAATTTGTAACACCATAACTCGAAGGGAAAACTACAAAATATAGCCGCTTCCAAAGACAATATATATATATATATATATATATATATATATATATTTGTATATTTGACTAGAAGATATTACTTCAGATGTTCTTGCCTTTGAAACAGTCGTAGGAAAGAATTGTTAGGTGTTTGTCAAGATATTCTTATCATATTTTGGTTTTTCTATCTGATATTCAGCATAAAGTATGCATATTTATGTGCATATCGTCTCGCATTTTACTCATATTGCGTGAGTTTTGTATGTGTAATGCAACGATTTGTTCTAATTCGTTGAGTTTTTATGTGTAGGAGTCAAATGGAAGTGATTTTGAAAGTTGGCATGCAAATTAAAGCAAAAACAGAAGAATTTGGAGGAAGTACGAGTTTGGTGTCCAGGATGGCGCCAGGCACCAACCAAAACGCCATTTACAGAAGACCAAAAAGTTTGGTGTCCAGGTTGACGCTAGGAACCAACCAAAATGCCATTTACAGAAGACCAAAAAGTTTGTTGTCCAGGTTGGTGCCAGGCGCCAAACGAGACGCCAAAGGGCGGATGTTGTCCTAATTCGGCTGGGACTTGGTGATTTCACCCCTACATGCCCCCAACATGTATAAAAGGGGTTCTAAACCTATTTTTTGGGGGTTGGACATTCTTTGGAGGCGAGAACAAGACACAGAACACTCGGGAGCAAGGATTCTCAGTTTTTCTTCATCTTTCTTAGTAGTTTCAATTATTCAAACACTTGTGAATTTATTTTGATACTATCATGAGTGGATAAAACCCATAGTTCTGGGGTTGTGATTTAGCCATGAATATTGTTGTTTAAAGTTGACTTAACCTTAATTATAATTCACCAATATATGATTGTTTCTTCAATTTTGTGATTAATTGCTTAATTGTCTGGCCAGCAGTTAGGTTCTTTTTACTATCTATGCTATGCTTGGGAAAGCCATGTTTAGATTAGAGAATAATTGAAGAGTGCACGATCTTAGCTCTGGGGGGGTGGAGGGCAAGATTGTGGTTAGGATAGGAATATACCTAGTCATTATGCTTAATTAAATATCGTAATCTTAATGCATTCTCAATAGATTGATTTTATAGGAATATAGGCATTAATCTATTTTGAATAGGCGAGTAGTACTTCAGGAGAAGGTTACGAGAGCAATCGTTCGATTAATTAGCAACCATGAGTGAATTGTATAAAAGGGAGAGTTAACTAGAACACGATAGGATTGGTGAATCGATCACAACTAGTTAGAATTATTGTTTAGTATAATCACACTTTTGAACTCTAAGTGACTCGACTGAATAACAGTCTTGGTGAATTTAGTGGGTAGTTAATACAAGTCTGTGTGGGTTCGACACTTGACTTATCATTTTATTACTTGTACGATCACGTATACTTGCGTGTGCGTTTGGGAGCAACATATTTTTGGCGCCGTTGCCGGGGACTTGATTATTCAGTAATTTCTAGTTTTAGCTATAATTATTTATTTCGTCAAGTCTAACGTTACTTAATTTTTGCTATGCTCTCAGGAACCTTGATTGAATGCGAAGGGTCAGAAGCCAGGATAGACTTCAAGTCTTTGACCCCGAACCTGAGAGAAGATTTCACAGGAGGTTGAGGGAAGCAAGAGAGACAAATAATCTTCAGGCACTTATTCAATTTCCTGTGAACATGGCAGAGGAGCAACATATGGCGGTTCAGGAGGTGGCGATGCCCAGCATTGCTAATGTCACCTCCAGCATTGTGAAGCCCAAAATCACTGGGTACTTTGGGCTGAAACAGAGCATGATCCAGCTACCTCATACGAATGGGCAGTTTATGGGTCTTCCACATGAGGATCCACAACAACATATCCTGAACTTCATGGAGATTAGTGACTTACATCACTAACGGAGTCACTCTAGACTATGTGAGGCTCACACTTTTCCCATTCTCTCTGTTGGGCAAAGCAAAGCGATGTCTGAAGGCATAACCAGCTAATTCTATTACATCATGGAATGATCTGGCAAGGTTTTTCCCTTCAGGCAAAACTGCAAAGATCAGAAGTGATATAGTCGTCTTTAACTAGAAATCGGGCGAGTCTTTATACTCAGCTTGGGAGAGGTTCAAGCGGCTGATCAGAGAGTGTCCTCATCACAACCAAACAAACGAAGTGTTAGCTCACACTTTCATAAAAGGGCTACATCCTGAGATAAAGATTGTGGTAGATGCTGTAGCTGGAGGTCAAGTGTTGGAGAAAAGCTTTGATGAGATATATGCGTTATTGAACAAATTCTCCAAAAGAAATCCCGATTGACAAGGAGAGATGGGCAGACACACAGTGCAAAAATCTGCAGGGGTTCTCTAGTTAGATGTCGTCTCTGCATTATCAGCGCATATTTCCACATTGACCAACCAAGTCAATCATATGACCTTGGTTATTAACAAGCAACAAGCCCAGCCAGTGCAACGGATTCAATTGTTTTGTGAAGTATGTGGAGAGGGTCACACGAGTGACTTATGCCCAGTTAATCCAGAGTCTGTCTATTTTGTGGGTAATGCAAATAAGGGCCAGACAAACCAGTATGGGAACACTTAAAATCCTAACTGGAGGAACCACCCAAACTTCTCTTGGGTGGGAAACCAAGGTGCTCAGAATCAGTACAAGCCACAAGCACCTCAATAACAATATAGACCACCTCAGGTTAAACAACATGCAAACTCGACGAGTCACCTTGATGAGATGATGAAGAGATTTATGGCTGACCAGCAGGCCCAAGCAGCAACGATGAGAAATTTGGAGCGATAAATGGGACATCTTGCCAGTGACCAAAATACTCCACCAGCTGGGGCTCTTCCTAGTGATACCGAGCCTAATCCTAAAGCTCAAGTCAATGCGGTTACCTTGAGAAATGGAAGAGTGTTAGAAGAAGTTCCAAAGAAAAAGAAGTATACGGCTAGTCCTGAAGGAGAATTAGTTCCCAAGCCAGTTGAGGAGAATGAGAAAGAGAATAAAGGATTAGAGCCAGTAATTGTGACAAGGTCACCACCTCCATTTCCACAAAGACTGCAGAAGCAAAAAGATGATGCTAAGTACAAGAAATTCTTAGATATTTTAAGCCAAGTGCGTGTGAATTTGCCTTTGGTGGAAGTTTTGCAGGAAGTGCCTAAGTATGCAAGGTATCTCAGAGATATTGTGGCAAACAAGCGAAGACATACAGAGTTTGAAATAGTTGCACTCACTGAAGAGTGCAGTGCTAGAGTTCAGAGTAAACTTCCTCCTAAGTGAAGGATCCTGGGAGTTTCACAATTCCTCTGTCTCTTGGAAAACAAGAAAGCCCTGTGTGATTTAGGGGCTAGTATAAATTTGATGCTACCCTCTTTGTTCAAGCAACTCGGATTGGGGGTTCTTAGACCTACTAGAATTACTTTACAGTTAGCAGATATGTCTTTGGTTATGCCAGAAGGAATTATTGAGGATGTGTTAGTTCGAGTGGGAAAGTCTATTCTTCCTGCTGATTTTATTGTTCTTTATTACGAGGCAGATGAGGAAGTGCCCATTATTTTGGGGCGACCATTCTTAGCTACTGGTGGAGCGATTATTGATGTGAGGTAAGGGAAGCTGAAGATGAGAGTTGACGATGAGGAAGTCACTTTTAATGTGTACAAGGCACTTAAGCTCCCTAAGCATTATGAGGACTTGTGCATGATTACTGTGGTCGAATTGAAGGGGATAGAGAAGAATTATTATGTAAATTGTAGTGATCTAGATAAGACAACTGAGTTAGATGAGGTGGTGTTACAAGCTGAGCGTGTAAAGATGATTGAGAAAAGAGCCAGAGATGAAAAAGGAGATCTTCTGAGAGCGTGCAAAAAGGCTAGACTTCATGGGAGAAAGAAGAAGAGAAAGCACCCAGCCTGAGCAGAGTAGCAGAGTCGTGCCATGACTATAAATAAGGCTCTTGTTGGGAGGCAACCCAGCCTGTATTTTATTTATTTATTTATTTATTTTTATAGTGTCAAGTTTTGTGTTGTTTTCGTTTTGCAGAGTAGGGGAAGTCTGAGCACCCGAAGTTGAAGCTGCGGAGCATGTTTGAACTTAAGTGTGGTGTCATTCCGACCTTTAATATTGAGGATCATGTACGAGCTAGGCCCGAGAGGATCTCAGGGAGTATTTTTCACCCTTGTTTAATAATTTTCTCTATGATCATGCATCGAAAACTATGCATAATATAAGTGTGAGGTGGGGGAATTACTTTATGTGTAGTGTAATTGTATAACCATTGTTATTATTTTTCTTTTAGCATAGAGTAGTAGACAAAATATATAAAAAAATGAAAAACAAATCAAAAAAAATTCGGATTTTTCACGACGATGAATCTTTTGGACAATTTTCTTGAGGGAGTAAAGTCCGATTAAAAACATCAATTTTTTTTAGGATAGTTTGGTAGTATCCCTTGGTTTTTCTTTGTGCGCCGGTTCTCTTCCAAGGGTGTATCTCGAACCGGATACTTTATTTTTCTAGGAGTAGGTTAGGAAGAAACTGAATTGCTCTGAGGTACCTATTGACGTGTTTGGTGCTGGCACATTAGGTTAATGGCATGCCCTCTCTCTTCCCATACACTTGATTTGAATTGTGATGCCTGAGTAAATTAAATAGCCTACTCTGTGACGCCTTTTCTCAGTTGTTCGACTTGTATGCCACATTGTGCAAGATTGCTTAAAATTTCTCAATTATATGTTCTTGCTTGACTTGAGAGTTGAACAAAACCGTCTTGATTGAGTCATGTGCAAGGTGTATGTAAGGATTTGTGGTATTCTGTGCTATCCTGTGTGTTAATCGAAGCAAAATCATTAAGTTGTGCTAGTCTCGGAGATGACGTAGGCGTTTCTTGCTCGATCATAGATGTGCTTGTCACTTACAAATAAAATTTTCCGTTGCTAGCCCTTTTGGCCTATAGACCTTTTCTTTAGCACCAACTTTACAAGATGAAGCCATATTTTGTTCTTAATTTGAGATTGTTGAACCTTTACCGCCTAAGGCACTTAGTCACTAAAAGAAGTACGGTGTGAAATTGGGGAGTAGCTTTCGAGTGGAACCATGGAAGGACCCTTAAGGTGCACTAAAGCTGTGAAAAAAAAGGTCACTAGCTGATGAACCTTAATAAATGGTAGGTGTGTAGAAAAGAAGAAAAAAATAATTGCAAGAAGGAAAAAAAATGATAGTTCAAATAGTGTAGAAAAACACACATCTCCTAATCTTACTAATTCGTGCTAGTGGGGATGTGGAAGTGCTTAATTGAAGAAGATGGCTATGTTGTATATGGTTTGTAGCGAGTGAATTGGTTGAGAAGAGTAGGTGCTCGATTTTTGAGTGTAGTGTATTAAAGTGCTTAGGAGGGTTAGTCACTATTCCTAAATGTATCTTACCTCGTTCCGTAGCCTACATTACAACCTTAAAGTCCTAATTGATCCTAGATTTGGCTAACATAGATTAGTAGAGATGTACACTGCGGACAAGCTTATGGTACAACTACGGGATGCACATGAATTCTTTGTGAGAGGGAGCGATTTTTTGTTCAAATTATGTGATGTCCTTAATTTATGTTCAAAGTCATACTTGACTATGTGGACTATTCTATATTCACTCTTTTGGTTGTCGGTGAGGGCACATGATCTCATGACGGATTGGTGATGTTGTGAATTTCTCTTGTTGGGTGAGTGCGCGAGTTGGGAGTGCTTAGTGGTAACGAGTCAACTCTTGAGGTAGGGTGCTTATGGGTAGGTTGTTTGAATTGATTAAATTGAACTGTTTATACTTCGGCATGTTTAAAACGGGAAAGATGTGAAAGCCTTATGTCATGCTTGATTGCTAGTGTCGATCATAGTCAATGGTAGAGTGTATGATTAAAAATTGAAGTGCTCCTCTCTAGTTGAGATGTGTACATTGTTGGGGTGTAGTTGAGAGTTCCATTGCTCGAGGACGAGCAAGAGTTTAAATGTGGGTGTTGATATTTGGCATAATGTATGCATATTTATATGCAAATCGCCTCGCATTTTACTCATATTGCGTGAGTTTTGTATGTGTAATGCAATGATTTGTTCTAATTCATGGTGTTTTTCTGTGTAGGAGTCAAATGGAAGTGATTTGGAAAATTGGCGTGCAAATTAAAGCAAAAATGGAAGAATTTGGAGAAAGTACGAGTTTGGTGTCCAGGTTGGCACTACGCTAATAAGTGGGGATTTTGACTACTTATTAGCGCCTTTTAGCTTTCGTTTTAGTCCAAAAGCGTTTAATTGTGTTCCCGAAAACTGATGAAATGTGATTAACTGCAGGAATATTGGAAGATGAACTCCCGAGATGAAATCCAACTCAAGAAGGAGTAATCTGAACTCAAGGACAAAAAAGTCACAAAAGCTCAGAAGTGCAGACCGCAAAATATCATCTGCGGTCGAAGGTTATGAAGGAAAATCCATCAGAGACTGGTGCAAAGTGCGGTCCGCACATGAATTGTGCGGCCGCAGAAGCTGGGTCAAAGAAAAGTTCAGAGAAGGTGCATTCCAAGCCCCCAAGAAGTGCGGACCACACAATAATTGTGCGACTGCAGAAGAAGAGTTGTGCGGCCGCACATGTAAAAGTGCGGACCGCAGAAGAGCGAGGTGCGGCCGCACATGTAAAAGTGCGAAAGAGTGCAGTGCGGCCGCAGTTCAGAATTATGCGGCTACAGACTTCCAATCATGTCAAGCTGAAGAAAAGTGCGGACCGCACATGGAATTGTGCGGCCGCAGAACCTCCGAAAGGCCATTTTTATCCGAAATTTCCAGCCGTGTATAAATAGAAAAGTTTCACATTTTTAGGTCAACTTTTGACATCAGCTGCTACAATAGATGTTTCCTTTTACTCTTTTTAGTAGTTTTTCATATCTTGAGCTATTTGAACATAGATTTTATCATTTTAATTAGTAATATGAGCATTATCATTTCTTCTTCTTTTTCTTCCATTTCAAGCATGAGTAGCTAGATTTTCACTAGGGTTGTGACCCAACCCTAGTGTGTAAACTTAATGGGTGTTTAATTTAATGCTTATTTATGGTTGGGTGTTTATTATTTAGCCTTGTTCTTGCTTTTACTTGTGGAATTAATGGTTGCAAACATTATTTCATGCCTATTTGACTTGGTCTCTACTTGATAAAGAGAGACTTAGTCTAGGAAAACTTGGCTAAGAAGAAATTGGGTCAATCGAGAGATTGACAATCCCAATTAAAGGGTTGAACCTAGAGATAGTAACAACCCGACTTGAGCCTTTTATCAACCATTTTGTTCAATACCCATTTGGACTTGAGAAAGCCAAATTGGGAAAAATCACTCTCTGACCGAGAGGTATTGAGTGGGTAGTTGAGTGTTGATGGCTATAATACACCCCGACCGATAAAACAAACTTTAAAGTTTATATCCCATTAGGAAAACACCTAGGTGAAGGTCATAGCCCTAGGCCTTTTTACAACAGTTGAAAAATAACAAAAACAATCTCCTAGTTTTATTTCTCAACTTGCAATCGTAGTTTGAATTAGAATTCAAAATAACCAAATTTTTTGGAAGTGCAAATTTAGATATACAAACTCACACGCTACGATATATACTACTAACTCCTATCTATAGCTCCCTACGGAATTCGACCCCGACTCTTGTTGGCTACTATTATTGCATCGACCGTTTTCATAAACCTTGAATTAAGATGTGAACTTGGACGAGATCAATTTTTGGCGTCGTTGCCTGGGAGCAAAAAAACGGTGTTAGCTATATAGTATGTGTGTTTTTGGGATATATTCTTTTCCTTCCTTGTTATTAACGAATTAAGAGATTGTAGGTGCAATATCATGGCAAACAATGATCTCGGAAACATAGATTAGGGGTACGTGGATGTTGAGGATGATCAAATGGATGAGATCCCTCTTGAACCTCAAGCAAACAGACGAGGCCGAGCGCCTCAAGACAATGTACCCGCTCCACCCCCACCTCCACCACGAACGGCTCCACACCGGGTGTTGCCGAATGAAGGGTAAGCAAGTGCTATAGTCCCTCCCCGTATTAGGGGCAACTTCCAAATAACCAACGTGATGCTCACTTTGCTCGAGCAACGAGGGTTCTTCACTGGTGCACCTAGTCAAAATAAGTATAAACACTTGAAAAGGTTCGTAGATATGTGTTGGGAGAGTAAACAAACTAATGTCTCCGAGGATGCTTTGAAGCTAAGGCTTTTCCCCTTCTCTCTATGGGGGAAAGCTTTAGATTGGTTGGAACGTTTGCCAAATCATTCCATTCATACTTGGGATGAACTAGCAGAGAAATTTATTTCTAAGTACTTCTCTCCCGGGCACATGGCTATTCTTCGGGATGAAATTCTAGCATTCAAGCAAGAGCCCAATGAACCACTACACGAGATATGGGAAAGGTATAGAACAATGGTGAAAGAGTGCCCTAACAACGATATGACGGAGACCATGATTCACCAAACTTTCTATCGGGGGATCAATACCACCAACCAATATGTAGTGAATATACTTGCCGGTGGGAACTTTATGACTACGCCTTATGCGGAGGCGTGTGATATCTTGG